TTCCAGCTCTGTGCTGCCCACACCTGGGGCTGAGCTAAAAAAGGACTCTTTTGAGTAAGACACAAATATATTGATTATATAGAAGAATTTAAGTTCAGCTTTCATGATAGAATTTGCACTACAATACTTCAAAGAAGTGAACTGAAGTTTTTTTTACAGTGTAAATGTAATAAATAAAGTGAGCACTATACACTTTGTATTCTGTTGTAATTGAGATCAGTATATTAGAAGATGTAGAAAATATCCAAGATATTCTAATTATTGTTTTACAGTGTGATTAATTGCAATTAATTTTTTAATCGCTTGACAGCCTTACTAATATCATTGTCCTGATTTATATGTGGTGTTAGTAAAAATAGCATCAAGTGCATTCATCAACCCTGAATTCGTTCCCAACTCACTGGTGGCATTTGGGAAATGGCCAGTTTCCAAAGGTTGACCTTAATACTTGTGGGAACCCTCCTCTGGGGGTTTTAGTTCTGTAGGGCTAGGGTGAGCTCAGCAAACTGCTTCAAGAAATTGTCTTCTATATTTCTGAAGTTGGGTGGCTACTGCTGGTTGTCCGACATCCTCAGACCTATTCTGTCTTAACAACCTGCTTGTTGGCTTGGCCCAAAAGTGGCACATAGCCTAAAACAATTGACCGTGGAATAGTTCATAGAAACTTTTAGAAATGCAAGGTAGCATTCCCTTCGCCACCTCCTCCTGCATCCAAATTCCCTCCTAGACTTTGCACCTCTCACCCTTCCCACATCCAAATACCTCATTCCCACCCTAGAGCCCACAGATCCTGTCTCAACCCAGTGAGGGTATGGTTAGACTGTTGGGGTTTTCCTGGGATTCCAGAGGTATCCTGGAAAAACTCTTTTGTGTCCAGGGATGCATTAGTTCTTCCGCTTTTTTTTAGTGAAACAGCACACATGCTCTTTTGGTAACCCCTGTATTCTTCATTCCATGAGGAAGAAGGGGGCTTGCGAAAGAAAGGGTTTTTCTGACATTTGGCCCAGTCTAGACAGAATAAAAAAAAAAGTGGCAGTGTAGCTGTACCCTGACAGTGTATAAGGGGCTGGGAATAGCAAGTGATGGAGAGGAGGAGAACCAAGGGTGGGGCTTCAAGGAGGGGGTGGGGTTTTGGGGGAAAGATGGGGCAGTAGAGCTTGGCTTGTTCTGACTTTAAAAAGTGATCTTGGACATAAAAAGGTTGGAGACCACTGCCCTAATGTCTCAAAAAAAAAAAGTGGCTTTGCATTTTAATTTAATTGCATGATACACTCTTTTAGTTTTAAAGTATGTATTGTATTATGAAAGAAGTGCAGAATTACCATTGGTTCTCTTGTCCCCCTCCGACTACTAGTCTAGAAAATTCTTTGACCTATATAAGCAGCCGTGTCAGGCATGCCCAGCGCAGTGTCTACAGTGTTTGTAATCTTTGTTGCATGTACTCTACTGAAATAGAATAACAAGCCTGTGACTTTACGTTTTAATTCAATCGTAGGATACCCCCTTTTAATTTTAAAATATGGATCAGTTCATTGTTAAGATAAGAAAAGGAGCAGACAAACTGAGTTATAATGAATGTGCTGATAATAGTGCAAATACCTCATACTCTTCGGTTAAGAACTTACATGAAGATAATGCCGCCACCAGTTCCAGTGTATGCAATAAACTGAGTAATGACCAACAGAAACAGACTTTGTCTCTTAGTTCAGGTCAGTGTAGTTCCTATTCAAAGCCATCAAACATTCCATCTGATGACCCAGACTGTGATATTCCAAAAAATAGATTAGAACGTCAGTCTCGATTATCTAGAGGTCCTTATCAGCCTAGATTGAGCATGTTTCCTAGAAGTACAATAGGGAATAAACAAAGAAGCATTCAGTACGGTTGGTATGAAAAGTATAGGTGGTTAGAATATAGCACATCAAAGGATGCAGCATTTTGCTTCTACTGCCGTTTCTTCTCCTGTAATGATGCAGCAAACAAAGGTCACACTGATCCAGCATTTATTGATAAGGGATTCAGCAACTGGCATAGGGCTAACGAATGTTTTAAAAACCACTAACTGTCAAAATCTTATGTGTTGAGCTGTTTATCATGGTCAACTTTTAATGAAGGGAAACCTATTGATGTATTGTTGGATGAGGGCAAGCAAGCTTATCTGTCTAAACAAGAAGAACAACGGTGCCATAACCGAAGTATAATGGAGTGACTTATTGACATTGTTCTGTGTTTGGCGAAAGGTGGGAGACAATTCAGGGGTCACAATGAAAAAGCTGACAGTTTTGAGAGAGGTTTATTTCTAAATCTTGTCAATATGCTCCAAAAATATGATCCCGTAATGGCACAGCACGTGCAACAATTTCCTCGCAATGCTACCTATCTGAGTAATCTCATCCAAAATGATTTAATTGTGGCTTTGCACAACATTCTGCAACAAAAGATTGTGTCTTCACTAAATGGAAAAATGGTCTTAATAATTGCTGATGACACTACTGACTGTGGACGCCATGAACAGATGTCCATTGTGATGCGGTATGAAAAACATAGTCCAGTTGAACATTTTGTGTCTGTGGAGAGACTAACAGTTGATGCTCAGTCTATTTTTGACCAGTTAAATGTCATCCTCAGCGTTCTTAAAATTGACTGGTCATCAGTGATGTCTGTCTGTTTTGATGGCACATCTACTATGTCTGTATGTACTGCGGGAGTTCAAATGAAATGTAAAGAAAGGAACAGTGAAATACTCTATGTACACTGCTATGTGCATTGTTTGAACCTCGTCCTCGTAGATGCATGCACTTCAGATAAACAAAACAGAACTGTCTTTGATTTTTCTGGTGTTATTCAGACTCTTTATGACTTCATGGAGGGGAGTCCTGTGCGACATGCAGTAATGGAGAAGATTTCACAAGAAGTAAGATCCCAGTTGCACACTTTTAAGTCACTGTCAAACACAAGATGGGCATGCAGAGTAGAAGCAGTGGTTGCTGTAAAAGAAAACTACTAATCATTTTACAAGGCAAGCTTTACAAGAGAACATTGAAACAACTCACCTTGCTGATGCTAAAATAAAAGCCAGGGGCCTTATCCATGAACTAAATTCATTCAAGTTCATCTTTGCCCTTCACATGATGCACCATATTCTCCAGATGGTGGTAAAAGTGATTAAGGCTCTTCAAGCTCCAGATCTCAACTTACTTACTGCAATGACAGGGGTGAAAAGCTTGCGTAACTCTTTGGTTGTGATGAGAAGTGGTCCAGAACATTTTCAGTCTATTTCAATGACAGTGTGAAAATGTG